CTATAATACACGTCAGTCTAACTTGTATCATATCCCCTTTTGCAGAACAAACATTAGAAAATTCTCAGTTAGTTACCAAGCCCCGAAATTTTTTAATACATTAAGTTGCGATATTCGCAATGCGTCAAGTGTTTCTTTATTTCAGTCTAAATTAAAAAAATACTTGTTTTCCTCGTAATTGCCTTAACATTCATTATTTTTCTTCTTCATTTGACAATTTAATATTTTTTATTTTATTGCTTTTATTATTCATCTGTAATGATATATTATTATTACTGTAATTACTGTATTTTGATATCAGTATATTGATATCAGTATAATTATTGTTTCCACCGTACCGTCTCTATATCTATCAGAGCAAGTTTATAGTATGAAGGAGCCCAATTTTATAAGCCTTTTGGTTTCTTTTGGGCTTCCTTGCCTTCTCCTATTCACTTATTAAATTTGTAAATATCTAACTTGTGGCAGAATAAATTGATTTGATTTGATTTGTTCTGAAACATCGGAAACGGACATGACAGAGTAAAAGGTATATAAACATACCATTTTTGTTGAGAAATATTTTTTTATAAATTGGAAGCGAATTAATATAAGGTATATTAATTAACTTCTCGAAAGCCAAAACAAAATCTTACTGCAAGTGATTACATTTCGTTTAAAAAGTAATTGGTCCAGCATGTCCAAACTAACGAGCATGCGGTCCCGTTAAGCACAGTACAGTGTTCAAGATGAAAACAGCTTTTGAACACAGACTTACTACACAAAACAATTTTTATTGCATTATAATTATGTAGGTTCGTCTCCGTTCAATGATTTTGCAACAGTTGAAGGATTTAAAAAGCCTTGAAGAAACAGGAGTTCTGGACGAAGAGGAATTTAAAAATCAAAAATCTAAGCTACTCAAAGAATTGTCAAGCTTGTAATATGGCAGTGATACATAAACAAACCTGTTAAAGTTGTATTACAATTAAAGTTATCTACATACATTGTTTGCATATAGCCAGCGTGATATATATAGTTTTTAATTTGCTCATCTGTGCTCTGCAGAAATGATTCCCACAACATTAATTCAGGATCGGGGCAATCTTGCCAAGCGATATCGTATTTAACCTGGGCAAAGAGTTCTTCGCAAGGCATAAAATCAGGCGAATATGCTGGCAAGAATATTAACATTGCCCCAGTGGCATTAATAGCATTAATTGCTTCTTGAGTGTGATGTATTGCAGCGTTGTCTAGAAAGGATAAAACAGTTCGAGTAAGAGTTATATAGAGTACCTCGAACGTCGGGTTTTATGGCATATACATACCCGAGGGCTCGCAGCGCCCGAGGGCATTATATGCCATAGGCCTAAAACCCGACTTTCGAGGTATATAACTGACTTATTTTACGATCGAGAAGGTTTTCTCACGAAGTTTTATAAAATTTGAATACTTTATTCCATAGCTATACTGTATATATACCGCGGTACATCAAAGAAAACCAACTCGATCGTGAAATAATAATTATCGACCTTGTCGCAAAATTCTACAATAATAAAACACTATAAGTATAAGAGACAAGCACTTTACCAAGTATGACAATCGAACGTGGATTAAAACCATTATATGGCAGTAAGCATGGAACAAGTACATTGTTAACAAAGGTAAGAAATGTTTCTCCATTAACGTGTCCACGGTAAAAGCCAACATCAAGAATGCCTTCCATAGAGATAATGGGAATTGCGGTAATGCGCGGGCCCCAGTTTGAATATCGTCGATATATTTTAGCTGGCCGCCCTTTCAGATTGTACCCACATGTTCTCGTGATTCTTTTATCCTGCAATTAAAGGAGAATTATACATTCAAAAAATTAATGGTAAAAGTAGGTGAGTATTGGTGAGATAAAATAAGTTTCATACCCAACACGAACATAAGCGTAACTCGTTTCAGATGATATATATGATATAATTATTAACTGCATGCTAAATACTGAACACAATTAGTGAACGTGTGCTGCACAATTACGTGAACAATTAAGGTTGTATTTATTAATCCTCACTATTGTTTAGATTCTGTGCATGCACGGCACAACATACGTATAGCTATAACATAGTGAGCAATTAACATACAAAGCCACTTTCGTCCAGGAAAACAAACATATCTGGCAATATCAAACATGTTGAAGCCCGAAACTCTGCCCTTGCATCTTCAGACCTCTGTTGTGCAATTTTGACGAGCTATATTTAAGACGGAGATTGTATTACAATGCAATTAGTATTTCAAGTTTATGACTAATTTATCATTTATGCATTGTTTGCTGTATTAAATTTACTAACCTTCTTATGAGTTATGTTGTTTCTTTTCAAATAGTATATAATACAGGGTCGATCATGCATATTGTGACCCTGTCTCTTCATAAAGTTTGTCCAGCACCTCTCCCAGCGTTTTTTCGGGATATTGCTGCAAGATTTCAAATATGACAAGCTCTTCGTGTGGATGTATTGCGATACAATTATATGGTCGACCAATGATAGCAGTGCTGACATTTCCTAATTCTCTGAACTTTTTTACGTAACGCCTTATCGTCATCTCCGATAACTGAAAAAAGAAACTTACTTCCTGTAAATCTAAACCCACAATTTCTGCCAACCAAATCACTCTCCATCGTAAATCTTGACTGTATGGGGCCGGCATTTCAACCAAATCAAATTAATCAAATGCAATTATTCAATTTCCCAAAGCCCATTGCGCGCTCAATCTTCAATATATATATATCTCCAGATCACAACCTTTTTTGAAAAGACTGTATATACATATTGTATATATATATATATTGTATATATATATATATATATATATATATATATATATATATATATATATAT